ATGTTAAACACATTTCAACTTCAAAGTTCAAACGCTTGAACTTTGAAGTTGAAATGTGTTTAACATTTTCTGCTTACTCTTTGCGAGAATGTATGGCATGCCTTTAACCCAGAATGAGTACTGTGTTACTGTTAGAGTACATGATACTGATACATCTTAACTGACTTACTATGAGTGTGAAATGTAAAATTGTAATCTCTTCTAGTTCCGCTCGCTAAGTAATTTAAGTTTTAGTTCTGTTACTACTAGTGAGACATAGAAAAGCATTGTTGTTACAATTTTAGTTATTTTGCTGACTAAGGTGAACAGTACTAGATGTAGTAATAATAATATTAATCTTACTTTTTCTTCAATTTTCAAATTCTTGGCCTTAACTTAAGTTTAATTAAGTTAACAGACGAATCGATATTCTTTAACTTTTTAATTAAGTAATTATTCTGTTAAACAAAATAACACCTATTAAACAATAGCTTTAAACCTGTAACTACAAGTACTACATTGACACCAACACTAGATACACACTATATAGTTTGCAAATTATACTACAAATACACTACGTCGTAAGCAAATACACTATAGATACTGTGATGTCACTCTCCGATGTAAACACCATCTCTTTTTTATATACATATATAATTTCCCATTACTGCTGTTAAAAACAATATAATGAAAGACAATCTTTTGAAGAAAAAACAACAACTTAAATTTGAGTTAAAATGAAAATAATGTAGCTATAAGTAAGCTCAAAAAGATATATTATTGGAAAAATCTTTAAAACGTTTTTCTCTAAAGACTTCTATATGTGTTTCAAATGTGATGCCCATCTTATATATTAAAATATATAGATATATAATATAAAATATATAAAATAATATATTATATATTATTTAATCAAAAAATACCTTTGCTACTGTAAAATGAATATTTTTCATTTGTCTAATCTAATATATAATGTAATCTAAATTCACTTCGTTCGTGTATATATATCGTAATCATCAGTACCCTAAGTTATATGCTATCCAGTTTATTTTTCTTTTCAAACTTTATGAGTAGCTTCTGATAAAAAGGTAGTAGCTTTAGTTTCCAAAACTATAAAAACTTAATATAAAAGTCAATGAAGCCAGTTTATTTTATTTGACAATAATTGAGTATATAATGTCACAAGTCAATATATGTAAGAAAACTAATAATGATTAGAATGCATTGAATCATCAGTTGGGTACCTTCTGGTTAACGATATTTTCAGCTGTATGCCAAGTAATACCTCACGAGGTTTGTACAGCTTAGAAGTGTAGTATTTAAGCATACTTTGAGTGTTCTACATTCTTGTATTAATATACTTGTTGCTTGACATTTTGCAAATTCTCTAGACTGTTACACCATCATTATTAGCACACCCCCAACTATAATCTAAATTAAAACATTGAAAACATAGTGTTACGTCTCCGTTTGTTAATTGATTTTTCCGTAACTTCGTTCCAACGAAACTTAACGACACAAGTCTTTACTTAATAAAAC